TTCAAGATGCACAAATGTAGTCCCTCACCGCTCCTATAGTCAAGGGCGACAGATATGGGGATTTTCAATGCCCCAGGAACCAATATGAGATCGATCAAATGAAAGTGGTTCCATATGCTTCAGCTGTCGGAAGCTTGCAATATGCTCAAGTGTACGCGCATACGACTTGGCATTTGTTACCGGGTTATTTGGCGATTCAGAGCAATCGGAATAGAACACTGAAATTGGTAAAGAAAGTCTTGCGTTATTTGCAAGGAACGAAAGGCCTCATGATGACGATAGAAGATCCGATTCACTCCATATAGTGGGATATTCAGATTTCGACTATGCGGGAGATAATAGAAAATCCACGCCCGGATATGTGTTTACTCTCGCAGGGGGAGCTATTTCATGGAAAAGCTCAAAGCAAACCGTCACTACATCGTCCACAATGTATGCCGAGTTTGTAGCATGTTATGAGGCAACGGGGCAGGTGAACTGGCTAAAGAAGTTCATACCCGGTTTGAAGGTGGTTGACGACATCAATAGACCACTGAGGTTATACTGCGATAATAATCCAGCAGTACAGTATGCTCACAACAATAGGTCAAGTGGTGCTGCCAAACACATTGACATAAAGTATTATGTTGTGAAGGATAAAGTCCGGGATCAAATGATAAGTCTTGAGCATATAAGTACCGAAAAGATGCTCGCGGATCCGCTTACAAAAGGCTTACCGCCCAACGTGTTCAGAGAACATGTAGCCGGCATGGGTTTAAGGGAAAGCCTATGACTCCTGGACTATAAAGGGCCCAAAAGTTAAAGTAACTATTTCAGATCAGAGACGTGCATCGTAGCTGTTAAATCTATCGGCGATTGACCGTGACGATGAGACATGCTCTATGCATCATCTGTGAAGAAATGAGTAAGGATAAAAGGATTGAAGTTTAAAGTTTAAAGATAAAAGTAATAGTGAGATCAAGGGGGAGAATGTTAGATTGATCTCCTGACTAATAAGCCCAACGGCCTATTGGGCCTTGGTCTCGCGCCCTGATCGGGGGCGCCCAACCCTACATGGTTGGTGGGCCCCCGTCGCACTGCGCTATATAAAGAGGTGGGGGCCGGCGGCTCAATGTACGAGGTTCGCCGTGAGCCGCAAACCCCACCGACAAACCCTAAACCGATCTCGAGAGGGCGCGCAGCCAGCGACGGGAAGCTCCGCTGATCCTCGTCGTCGCCACTGCTACGCCCGACCGCACTGCATCGACGTCCGTGCAACCTCTACTCCACCCGTCGCTGCCCGTGTGCTGCCTCCATCACCGAACCCGCGATGGCTAGCACAACCGCGACATCATCTGGAGGCTCAGGTTCATCACCAGCCCTCTCTCCCCTATCTCCCTCTCGGTGTAGTGTTCTAGGTCTAAATGTGCATGTGTTTCATGGATCTATGAGTTCATCCGCCTAGATCTACTCTAGTCGATCCAAAGAATGTCAACAGTCAGTAGTACGGCCGGAAGGATGAAGTACTTTAATAAGGGCAAAACAGCACAGTGATTGATTGCCTCTGTGGACTCACGGGAGGGAGAGGGAAACAGTGCTGAATCGCGAATGACGTTGCCACCTTCGTCATCGAGCTCGTACGGCATTCAGTGTCGTCGGGGTCATCAAGCCCCTCGCCGGCGCGCACTGCAGGCAGCGCCTCCGTGCCACCAGAGACTGTGCTCCGCAAGCGATCATTGAACTTGGGCCATGTGCCATCTGAGTCACAGCCCAAAGCGCATGACACAAGGACCATGCCATGCCTAAGATTTCGGTGCATGATCCGGTCCGAATTCTGGGTTGTGTTTGGCCGGCACAGCATGAAAAATGACATATAAGTACATCTACAACACTAAAATATAATTTTTATATTACTTATCTAATTTTTGAATGGATTATTAAAATCATTTTCGTGAATATGGTACATAATAGATGTGGTTTTTATGTCATGACCGCAGGTGCGAAGCCAGACAAAAGTGGCACCGGGTTCGGTCCTATTTCACGATGGGGTCTTTGCCTCTCAAGAACAATGCAGAACAACTATTTTCATCGAATTTTCAAAAATCCATTGGGGTCAGCGGACCCCAACAAGAAAGCATAGCTTCGCCCATTGACCAGACAAAGAAAACTAACAAAGATATTTTGAGGATCGTGTCAGAGCGGACACGACACGAAGATGAGCTCGCGCGCTATGGTCCGTGCTTGGACCGGAGAGAAGATTTATCGTGTCATACCGGCACACCCAACGTACCTTGCATGCCTAGAGGCCACATCCAAAGCGACATGAAGCACGAGAGGGCCGTCACGTGCTCGCTTTGAAGCACGATAGGGTCGTGCTGTGCTACAAGTCCCACCTCTGCTCGTGCCGCATGAGCATTCTTGTTATATGGATATAATTCGATCCGTCTTTTATTGAACTAGATGATACTTCACGTGTTGTTGCAAAAATTGTATCGCGTCGACTCAAGAATGAAATAATAAAATTATGTAAGAAAATATATTGTTTTTATGAGGTTTTTATTAGTCTTTTCCATCTAGCAAGTGTTGTGCATTAGTCTTTTCCATGCAGCAAGTGCAATGAATTAGTACATGGCGTTATACTCATTTAATGTTTGCCACGTAGAACTAATTGTTGATGTGACTTATTAGGAATAAAAGAGGAGAGAGAAAAAAAACAATGTGCTATATATTGATTTTGGACTTTTCGTAGGACACCGTAATGTTGTGTGATATTACACTTGAGAGGTTATACCAGTGTCATACAAGCACTGAAAAGTTTATTTGATCCCAACTGTATCTGTGTCATACCATGTATGCTACGTGACAGTCTTGGATTTTGGAGTACGACATCATCTATTAGGACTAGCATGAGCTACAGAGGGCGCCAAGAACCGTCTCCAGTCTTATGACCTCAATGAATTTTTGGAAAGAAAGTATTTTCTGAGCTGCCAAGTTTAAGGACCTATTTGGTTTTGGGTGACTAAACTTTAGCACCCCACTTTACTCCCTTTTAGACACTTTTTAGCCAAACAACGTGATTAAAAACTGACTAAATGGGTTTAGTCATCTAGTTCCTAAGGGGGTGACTAAAAGGGACTAAAAGCCCATTTTGACAGAGGCTGCCCTTCATTATTGCCCTCTGCCCACCCCATGGCCTATATTAGGGGCATTTAATAGGGGTGTTGTGGTCTTTTGTCAACAGCTTTAGTCCCTTTTAGTCACATAAACTAAACATCCTAGGACTAAAGTTTAGCCCCGGAAAACAAAATCCATTTTCGTTTCTCCCGGGCTCGGTTGCCACCATGCTTGTTTGGGCCATTTCAACCCCGCGCCGGTTGGCTCTAGTGAGCTCACGCGGCATGGGAAAATCAACCCCCCCCCCCTCCCCGGTGCATTAGGGTTTGGCAGCCCTTTGTATTTGGTTGTAGTCTCTTCTCTTTTTCGCTTCCCTCTCACTTCCTCACTCAATCAGCCTCCTCTCTCCCTTCTCTCAAGCAGCAACCGGTCCTTCGTGGCGTTGTGGTTGAAGCAAGTAGTCGCCTCCGTGGTTGGGGCCTTCTTCGAGCGGGTGGCTTCTTCTTCCCCTTCTTCGAGTTGTTGGTGACTAGAGCACTTGGTGCTCTTCGACGCTAGACCTGCTTCCCCGTCAGGCTGTCACCAGCTTTCGCCTCTTCACTGCCTCCCCGTCCCCACTTCAGCTAAGGCCTTATTTGGATATACATGTATCTACCTCAATCCACTTCAACACATGTGGATTGAGGCAAATACATGGACATCCAAACAAGCCCTAAAGCAAGGTGAAACAAACCTGCATCCCTCCAGAAACTGCGTTTGGCCTCTAATGTGTAGGCATGTTTTAGTAAAATTTGTAAACTCTGTTAGGTGTTAAACATCCTTTGTTCTTCTTCTGTATTTGCATGCACTTATGCTTGAATGAATACTGTTTTGGTGGGAATACAGCCGCCAGATCAATGCATGAGCCACCAGGCCCATCTAGAGAAACAAACATGATCTCATATTGATAGTTATGGTAGTTGACACGTGTGCTGCAGCCAAACAAACATGAACTCTGCACAACTAGGGCCAACTGGCCAATGAAACAAACATGCCTCTTTTGCACGAATAAAACCTGGCTCTGGCCACCCTGACGGGCCACAATGGTCCAGGCAACCAAACAGCTACAGAGCCACAGAGGTGTACCAATACACCACTACTGGTGCACCAATGTGCTGGTATGGTTTGGTCGACAGTTGCTAATTGCTGCATGATCCCACTTGCGTGAAACTTTGGATACAACAATAGCTCCGCTCAAGGCAGTACGATCCTCTTGACCTTGAATGTATTCCAAACAATAGGCTATTTCATCTCAGAATCCTAAAACAGTTGGTCAACGGAAGATAACATAATAATATTAAAAGCTCTCCTGAGGGCATTCCGAAGATACTTAGTTATTAAGAGTAGCATGCTACAAATAGCTCAGCCTCGACTAAAATGGTTTCTCAGTGCCACTCAAATATGCTTTCTTCCGTGAGATGGCGGCGGGTGTGCACGGGGAAGGAGTCGGCATGCACAGGTGCGGGTGGCGCTGACGGAGAACCGGTGAATCGGGGATTTTTCATTGCCGTGAACGAGTGGATGAGAAGCATCTGGGAGCCTCCAGAGTCCACATCCAGATAGCCTCCGTTTATTGTTTTTCCTTTGTTTTTCCTACACAAGTTAACTTTTTTATTTTCTGTCCCAGCAGGGGCTGCTCAGCCTACGGCGCCCTTTATTTTGAGAATTTTTTTGAAAAGCAGACATGCTGTTATTTCGGACCGAGGGAGTACCGGCAACAGCTAAGTCTATTACTAATGTTAATATGGAGGTTGTTCTATGAATCTGGACAGCTAACAAGTAACAAACAAATAGTTTAGCCAACTCTCTAGCTGGCTGCAAGTGGTGACTTCCTGTGGACAGCCACAAAGACAGCACAAAATATCAGCTCAAATATCTTTATCTTCAACACCAAGGTTCTTTATCTTCAGCACATTGCGATCCCTTCTTGTATAAAATTTATGAATTGCTGGCTTAACTTCAAGTGATGGAATGGGTGGTGGTATAGCTGTAGTTGGTGGGGTTGTATCAAAGCCCTAAGGACAATAAATACACAAGCAGGAACTAGAATCAATCCAGAAACGAAAATATCTAGTACAAATGGTACCATACGGCACAAGATATGGCATTACCTTGAACATCTCCCTTAGCTCAGCTTCCCTAGCTTTCACCTGTAAAAGTGGGGGAGAACACGTGCAATTGAAACTGAAGTAACAAAAATGTTGAAACACTGAAAAGCTTCCCAGGAAATAAATCATCATACATATTTATCCTCATCCTCATAATCCCTCTTCCACTTTGCAAAGTATCCAAATGGCAAACCCACATTCAAGTGACCAGCACTGTATCCATCAGAACTGTTAGGGTGCTTCATACCAACATCTCCATCTCTGGTGCAACCATAGCAGCGACCTTTATTAACAAAGAAAAAGAGTTAACTGCAAAGGAACCAACCAAGCACAAACACACAATAATGTTAAAGGTAATAAAAAGTCACTATGCAATAATTGTTGTGCATTAACCAGTTTGACATATTATAAATAATGAAAAGCTCCAGGATAACGAAGGTGGCACACATGGAACAGGGTCAAACAAACAGGTCAACACAGTAAAGATCATATGCTACAGCCAGAGATACATTACAATTACAGGCAGATATGTTGAAGGTAGTGCGACCAAATAACTGAATTTGAACAGTACTTAATTTAAGATAAAGAGTATATAATACCATTGTCACTCAGATTAACTGTGCAGAAACAGCTAACCACCTGTTCTTTAAACTTTCCTTGTGTCATACATTTCACTTCCACAAAGAAAAGATTGTCCATACTACATTCATTAGGACCACCCCCTTTAATCTTTGTAGTGAAATTGAGATGATAGTACAAAGTCAGGTTCTCACAAATTGACTGGTAGTGTAAAACGTCTTTGAGTTCGTGTGCAAGATCCTGAAATAAGAAGCATGGTTCAAATCAGCAATTGTTGCATTAACAAGCAATAAGACACAGCGCAACAATGGTAACAAGACACACAATGAGGGCAGAAGGGAGAGCAAACCTCCAAAAGATTATAATCCTCATTATACTTGTCCACTAAAGCTTGAACAAATTGACGCATTTCGGATTTCTCAGTTATAGCTGATGTTGTACGCCTCTTGATTGTGCCATCAGGCCAGTAAAGACATTGTCTTATAGCCTTATCTTGCTCCACACACCTAATTTAGATGAGAACATTCTATCTCATCAGTAGATTGCACTTTCTCAAAAGTGGAGAACACAAAGCAATACCAAGTACTCCCTCCCAGATCCAAAAAAATAAGCAATTCTAGGCTTCTAGCTTTGTCCTAAGTCAAACTCTTAAGTTTGACCAAGTTTATAGAGAATGGTATCAACATTTATGAAACCAAATAGGTATACCATGAAAAAATATTTCATGATTAATCCAATAGTGCTTACTTGGTATCACAAATATCGGTACTTTTCCATATAAAATGGTCCGACTTAAAATGGTTTGACTTAGGACAAAGCTAGAATGGCATTTTTTTTGGGACAAAGGGAGTACTAGGTTCACTAGTTTGCAAAGAAGGTTGTTGACTAGGATGTACCTCACATAGCTCATGGTAGCAATTAACAACAGCAACAGCAAAATGATACAAGATTGTTCATGCCTACAAATGCTCAAGTGCATTATACCTTCTTTTAAGGAAAAAATGTATCCCACTGCAATTTTCAGATGGCCAACAAAGAGTGCTCTGATCACACTATTTTGACCAGTTAACAGAACATATTGTTTGCTCTGTTCACACAATTTTCGTACATGAGGAAACATTGTTGTATGGTACCACCGTTCTTTAGCTGGCTGAAGGTTAAGATCTGACTGAGGGTTTTTGATTGCGCCGTCTGTTAGCTCCATGCTTTATTAATGATCAATGTAGCTATGTACTAGAAATTCCATTGTGTTGTCTTATATTCCATTTGAACGATGTATTGTATCCATGTATCATATACTCGGATTACCCATGGTCGATCTTAAGTGATCACATCTGTTTGTATCATGCGTTGAGAATTTCTAAAACGAACGTAATCGAGTGAAATTATCTCGAATACAGCGCCATAGCCCACTGGTTCTGCCGTGAAATAGCCCATGTTCTGTCGCGCCATAGTCCACGGCGCGTCAGTGACGCGCCATAGTCCACGGCGCGGCAGTGACGCGGACAGAAACCGACCAGCCTCAATTGAGCTGTTGTCGGTGTTGTAAACAACTACAAGTGCTATCGTGACCGTGCGCAAGTTGAAACGAATATGAAGCAAATAAATGGACGACAAGTTGTCACATAACATTTTTATTGGTTTATGAGTCTGCAAGTTTTGGACGACAATATTCGTTCGACATAAGTTCGACGTAACGAACTAAGTCCCAGGAATGTAAGGATCCCTCTAACGTCTCTAGGAAACCTCGTCGTCCGGTGGAAGAAGGGGGTCGCCGTACTCCACCTTAAGAAGGGGGTACATCTGGTGTGGTGTGGGAGGAGCCATCCTGTTACAAATTGATAAATAAAAGGTTAGAATATTCAAATTAACAATATTCATATTAATATTATGTAGCATTGCAAAATTTGAACTACTTGTTATGCAATACGAACACAATATGAAAGCACCTGCTGCCCTCGTCTTCTATGCCTGCTAGCCTTGTGACCAGATTTTTTACAAATAGAGCAAATATTCCTGCCACGGGTCTCGTTGAAGTCTCCCCGCCGTACATGTCTTCGCCGTACCCTCTCATAGCATCCATGTCCCCCTTGAGTCGCTTCTTTTTTTTTCCTACCCTTCCCTACATTCATTAGATCCGGATGCGGCACGTAGTCATAACCATTATAAGGTGGCCACTTTGTCGGGTTAAGGTATGGCTCGAAGCTCATCTCCCAAATACTGACGGTGTTCGAATAGAGTTACAAGGGTGACATATATAGCAGATCCTCATAGTTGTATCCGCGAACCCTACAGGCCGTGATCATATGAGAGCAAGGGGCATGCATGATCTGAGGGACGTTGTAACTGCACTCTACCTTTTCAAGATTAACTCGGTAGTTTCATCCACCATAACGTTCGTTGCCCAAGCTTGTGCCACTCTTGCCCCGTACACTAAAGATATGGCGGCGGGGTCCATATGGCTTGGTGGTGTGCTGCTTGGTCAATTCCTCGGCCTCCTTCAAATGTTCATCTCCGGCCTTTCCAAAACGCCCCTGCTCAGCTATATTCCTCTGCACAAGTTCCCACATCTTCACAAAATATTCGTTGTACTTATGAAAGGAGAACTCAACAATTTCAAACACAGGCAACGATCGAACTCCGGTGAATACATGGTTGAAGGACTCCGAGGAGTTAGTGGTCATGATGCCATACCTAAAACCCCCCTCGTCATATGCTAACGCCCACTGAGCCTTCTGTTCTATCTGCGCCTCTAACCAGACCTTTCCCGCTTCATTTACCATCTTGTCTAGTTCTCTCTTTGTCTCCTTGAACTGGTGCTCTGTACGTACACAACATAGAGCCTTTACCTTGTCACATACCTCCTGTTTCCGCTGACATCGCCAGAAATTAGCGGCAAAGTGTCTCATGCACCATCTATGTACTAGAGGCGGGAACCCATCTATATGCTCAGCTGAGCATTAAGAAGCCCTGCGTGATGGTCCGAGATCAAACATATAGTGCGAGATGGGCCAAGCACTTGTACACGTAGAAGCCGCATGAACCATGACCATGATTCATTGTTCTCTCCCTCTGCCAAAGCAAAAGCCATGGGTACTATCTGATCCTCAGGATCAACAGCAGCAGTCATCATCAAGGTGCCCCTGTACTTTTCTATCAGGAAAGTGCCATCAACAAGTACGACGGGCCGACAAAACTGGAATGCATGTTCCGTTTACGCGAACGACCAGAACACACGATAGAGAACATGCCTCAATGGGTCCCGAAAACATATCCCTCTGGTGTCCACAAACCATTTCAAGCCAGGGTTGTAGTAATGTATTGCACATAAGATGCAGGGCACCCTGTTGTATGCTTCCTCCCAACTACCCCATCGAATCGCCAGGGCAATTTGCTTAGCACGCCAAGCCTTTCCGTACTTCACATCGTACTTAACGAATCCAGATATGGAATGTTGTAAAGAAGACACAGAAATGTCGTTATTGTCATCAACGAGCCCCAATATACGATGGGCAAGGTAACGTGCAGTGAGCTGCTAATGATTTTCCTTCCCCCTATTGTCTAGGCAAGTGTGAGGTTCGACAACTTTACTTATCCTCCACTTGCCATCACTATATGTCTTTCGTGCATTTAACCTCCACATACAACCGTTTTTGCATATCATGTGGTATCTTAACTCCTGGTCCGAATGAGTGACGGTGTACGGCCTATGGTGGTACACAACATAGTCCTAAAGGAAGAGTTTCATCTCTGACATTGTGTTGAATATCATCCCCTTCCTAAGGGTTTCTTTCTCATGATCATACACTGATTTCCTACACATATGGAGACCGGTGTCACAAACTGCCATATCCGTCATGCTGACATCCCTATAGTTCGGAACGCCCCTGAAAGGTACGTTCTTCGACCTTAGTTGCTCAAACTCGGTCGCTGTGTAAGGTGGTGGTGGAACATACTGCTGTGATTCGCTAATTCTAGCCCAATAATCATAGGGGGTATCATCTGCTACCAAATCTATGACTAGTCTACCCTGAGCCTGGACACCATGCAAAACCTCAGTTCGTACTAATAATGGCATAGTATGAACCGGTATTGGCATGGCATCAGCCGATGTTGGCATAGCATTTGTACCTCCTTGGTCATCATCAGAATCGTCTGAATCACTGCTAACTACATCACCGATCCTGTCCTCCTCCTCCTGCTCCTCCTCTTCCTGTTTGAACTTATTCATATCGAAGTCATTGCTTATACAGCCTACTACAGTTGAAGGAAACTGCTCCTGCATCAACTGACCATCTAAATCCATGTTATCCTGAGTTGCTTCCCCTTCGACCCCTAATTTTTGTTCATTTCCTCCAAAACCATCAATGGACGGGCCGTCCTAAACACCCTGCATCATGTACCCATTCTCCACCACCACCTCAGCCATGGGCACATTAGAACCTTAGAGCACCCTAGTGTAGCGGGACCAGTGAGCAGGGTCGCGTAAGGACATGAGGACACAGTGTGCCCTAGTCTTCCTAGTATCGAACCTCCCCTTCAGTGTGAAATCACCGCCAAACTTTGCATTCAAACGGACACAAAGGTCGTTGAAGCTAGGAGGTTCATCAAACCATTCCAATTCTTCTTCCATATCCTCAAACATACTATCTTCTCTCCTAACACTTCCTCCGTATAAAACTCTAACATAACAATCCATCTGTAAAAGCATTTCAAGAAACTTCATCAAGTCGTCGAAATCGTCGTACGTAATGTCCATAATAATATTAATACATATTCTAACTATAACTATACTAACTAATCTAATATTAACATCTATACAAAGCTAACTACAACAACTAATTAGACTAAATCTAATGTATAACTAGACTCAATAACTGTACTAACTAAACTACCTAACTTTACTATCTATACTAACTTACTATATTACCTATACTAACTAAACTAACTTTACTAACTATACTAACTATACTTTACTAATTTTACTAACTTTATTAATTATACTAACTACACTAGGGGAGTACCTCGCGGCAGCGGCGCTCGTCCTCGTGGCGGTGGCACGCTAGACCGGGTCGGGAGGCGCAAGCGCTGGCCTCGGCGGGCGCGGCGGGCAGCCACCGTGCCTGGCCGAAGGGGGTGGCGTGCCGGCGTGCGGGCGCGGCGGCCGCACCGGGCGGCCGGCGGCCATGCCGTGCTGGCGTTCGTGGCGCAGCGACCGGCGTGCTCAGTGGCGGGCAGGGCCGGCGTGCTCGGTGACGGGCTGGCGTGGGCGGACGTGGGCGCGGCGGCCAGGCGTGGCCAGGCGGCCTTGCTGCTCGGGCAGCGGGACTGGCCGCAGGGGTTTTATTTGGCTCTGCCGCGCCACGGATCAGGGCGCAGCACTACCGCGCCAAGATCGGTGGCGCGACAGGCCCTGCCATGTCAACGGTCAGCCTTTCCGATCGTCGCCACGTCAGCTCCATGCCACGCCACCATGCATGGCGCGCCATGGCAATAGACGCGGCCAAAAGTGTTAGTTTTAAAAAAATAAACAGGGTTAAATTTAAAATTAGTTTACAAAAAATGTTAAAATTTAAAAAAAAATCCCTGGTAGAGGGAGCACTTTTTTTAGGAAAAAAACTAAAATAAAATTTTAATAATAACATTTATGTTTTTTTTGACTGAATAATAACATAAGTACACACACGCACACTCGGACCCACTGGTCATTGAAACGGGGCGCGGGGGCGAGCTGTCAGCCAGCCAAGAGAGAGAACAGGGTGCGCGCCTGCGCTGGCTGGGCTGGACCGGCCTGGTCGGGGTGTGGGCCGCGCTAAGGGGCGCATTGGGCCTGCGGGTTTAGGCGCCGATCTGAACCTGCGAAGAGGAAGCGGGCTGTGGGAAAGTGGAAGGCGGGAGCGGGCCTACGGAGGGAACTGGGCTAACATGCCGAAAAGAGAGGGAGGGGAAAAGTTTTCCTTTTTTTTCTTTTTATTTTCTGGAATCTATTTTCAAATCCATTTCAAAAGCAATTTTGAATCAGTTTGAATTTGGATAAAAAACACTCAGTACAAATGCATCATAGTGTATGCAAAATATTGTTGCTACATCCTATGATGAATTTTAATTTAATGAAAAATATTGTTTTTCTATGTTTTTGTGAGTACAAAATACATAATTAAATTATTTTCGCTCTATTTCAAAATATGCAAATTTTCGGGTGTT